CATAATAGTATATCGTCGTGCTAACTGTCAATGGTGTAGGGTCGACTAACAACCTGTCCTTTGAAAAACTCTGGAAATGTCAAGGACTAGAAAATGTTTACAGATTTGGTGCGAAGAAAACTCTCCATTCTAATTGTAAAGGACAAACTTAATTATTCTTTGTTACAGAACACATGTTGTCTAGGATCTTTACTATAAGATCTTTACTATAATTACATGGTTACGGGTCTTTTTATTTCTTTGTCTATCATATATGTTTTGTACATAAAAATAAAAGAAAAAATAAACATATTTATACATCACATGATAGCTATAAAATATAAAGATGTGTATAATATATATGTTTTTTTTTAACAGGCTTGGTTTACAAAGGTCTATTCTTTTATATATTATTTTCTACATTAAAAATGTTCTCTTAGTCTACATGTTTTCTTATTTTCGCCATATACGTATTGCAAAAAAAAAAAAAAAAAAAAAAAAAAAAAAAAAAAAAAAAAAAAAAAAAAAAAAAAAAAGAAATGAGGCAGATTGGGACGCACACAGTTGAGTGTCTTGATATGTATATTTTTTTCGTCTTTTCTACGTGTACGTCTAACTCGTTAAACGTTGGTTAAAACGGTGGTTGGGTTTCTTTTTCTCTATAGAAACAGTACCGCATCGACCGATCTTGACAAGGCCGCCACGAAACAGCACGGTGCTTGTCGGAAGCAACGTTAGTATGATCTGCCAGGTGCTCTCCGATGCTCATCGTCATCTCGAATGGTATCACGGTTGCCATACCTCTTTCGACACCGTCAACAAGACCAATCAGAGCTTACGGGTGGAGGTCAAGGTGGGCGCAGCTTGCATGCAAACTTGCCGTTTTTTATCGCTTCCTCTCAATCTTCGCTTCTGATCGCTTCCAATTTTCGTAACTGTCAATATATGGTTCTGTGCTTTTCTAATGTTCACTAAAGAGAGAGTTTATGGATTTATGTTGTACATGTGTGTAAATATCGTTGACGCATGTTTGCTCTCAAGCGCGATTAATAGCGAAATTTTGTTCGACATAGGCTGGAATGGAGACGGAAAATCCGGAGGAACTAAAACTTTACAACGTTACCGAGAAAGATGAGGGATGGTACACATGTATCGCTCAGAACAATTTAGGGGAAACATTTAGCAGCGCTTATCTACGTGTCGTCAAAAGTGAGTAGACGAATTTTATTCCAAATTATTAGAGTATTACGTTCAGAGACAAAAAATTACAATGATATTGTAAAACTTATTCAGCGCTGGACGAGCAAAGAATACCGTTAACCGCAAGACCGCAGATTCTCGTGAACGTTCTGGCGGCTATTCTGTGCTTATTCTTCGCACTGGGAGTCATCGTGGTGATATACATTTTTCATCGATTGAAACGCGAGAAGATGAAAAAGCTGCTCGCGATAGAAACGGCGCGTGCGGCAGTCGTGACGCAATGGACGAAGAAGGTCATTGTGGAGAAGCAGAAACTGGTGAACGCGCAGAACGCGATCGAGGAGGAGCTGCTGATGCCAGTGGTGAAGATCGAGAAACAAAAGTCCACCGTCATCGCCGAGGACAGCAGCAGCGACAACGTGTCCGAATACGAACTACCGTTAGACAGCGCTTGGGAATTGTCGAGAGAATATTTCACGCTAGGAGACACTCTGGGCGAAGGAGCATTCGGCAAAGTTGTCAGAGCCGAGACGAATACCGGCAAATCTGGAATACCTAGCGTTGTAGCGGTAAAAATGTTGAAAGGTAAGCAAATCTAAACATAATTATGAATAGAATTTATGAGATAAAATATATTCTATATTTTATATGTATAAT